CTGCAGCAGCCACTGCACTCCAGTCTGGGTGACAGAGTGAGACTCCAACTCAAAAAAAAAAAAAAAAGAAGTTGCTAAAAGCTTTATTAACAAATTTGTTCACTACTGATGGACACCCCAAGTAGTTCCCAAGTGAAACAACATGAGAAGCCGGGCTCAGTGGCTCAGCCTGTAATCCCGTGCTTTGGGAGGCTGAGGTGAGTGGATGGCCTGAGCCTGCGGGTTCGAGACCCACCTGGGCAACTTGGCAAGACCTCATTCCTACAATAAATCAAAAACTAGCCGGGCGTAGTAGCGCACCTGTAGTTCAGCTACTTGGAAGGCTGAGGCAGAAGGATTGCCGGAGCCCAGCAGGTCGAGGCTGCAGTGGTCGGGAGCGGCCACTGCACTCCAGTCTTCTGGGTGACAGAGTGAGATTCCAACTCAAAAAAAAAAAAAGAAAAGAAACAACATGATAGTTACAGAAACAGTGACTTCTAGAATTGGTAATAACTGAATAAAATTTCTGCCTTACAGCCTCGCCCAGTGATAAAAATGCCACCACAGGTATGATTAGCTTTTGCATATCTTTTTCTCAAACCTTTTTATTCTTCCTGTGAATTCCTTAACTTCTTTTCCCTTGATACGTCTTCTAGTTTATTTCTAGTTCTTTCTCAAACCTATGAATGCTCTTCACTCCTCTACGTCCTCCTAGGCTGGACTCAGTGGCTCACACCTATAATGCCAGCACTTTGGGAGGCTGAGACAAGAGGACTGCCTGAGCTCAGAAGTTCGAGTCCAGTCTGGACAACTTGGCAAGTCCTCATCTCTACAATAAATTAAAAAACAAAATTAGCCAGGTGTGGTGGCCCAGGCCTGTAGTAGTCCCAGCTACTTGGAAGGCTGAGGTGGAAGGATCGCCTGAGCCCAGCAAGTCAAGGCTGTGGTGGTCATGACCATGTCACTGCACTCCATCCTGGGCAACAGAGTGAGATTCTGACTCAAAAAAGAAAAAACCCCCCAAAACAAAAACAAGCTTCTGTCCTAAAAGTCATGGAGTAAGAATGGAAACATATTGTATGGCCCCCAGATAAGCTCTCCATAAACCTTATTTGGTGATTAATGGATTGTGAAATAAAATCAATTTGGCTGCAAGGCCTCCATAGTATCATAGATACCATGGTTAAGACTGCTTTTCCCAATGTGCTGATAATTCTGATGTATGACTAGGGTTGGGAACTGCTGAAACAGAGAAAAAGTGAGCTGCTTAAGAGTTCTTAATTTTTAGAATGGGATCACCAGCATTTCTATTTTATACTTCATACTGGATAATCCTAGAAAGACTTTTCCCCCAGAAATGCCCTCAGAGATGATTTTATTTTATTTATTTATTTGTTTTTAAATTTTTTGTTGTTGTTGAAGTCTCACTCTGTTGCCTAGGCTGGAGTGCAGTGGCACGCACGCTCATGGCCACCCAGCCTCGGCCTGCTGGGCTCAGGCGATCCTTTCACCTCAACCTTCCAAGTAACCAGAACTACAGGCACGCGCTACCATGCCTGGCTAATTTTTGATTTATTATAGAGACGAGGTCTCGCCAAGTTGCCTAGGTGGGTTTCAAACCTGCGGGCTCAGGCAATCCACTAGCCTCGGCCTCCCAAAGTGCTGGGCTTACGGGCTGAGCCACCGAGCCTGGCTCAGAGATGATTTTATCCATTTCTGTTTCCAGATAGGAAAGCACCTAGACTTCCAATTTCCTCTTGCTTTGCTTTTGGGGAGCAGGAAGGACATACCTTCATTTATAATGATCTTCTATAGACCCTACTCTGTATTTTGCCCCCAGTCCATCTTTCCTTCTCCCTTCCTTTCATCTTTTGTTTATGCTACTCCTATTTGGACCTTCCTGTTTTTTGTACTGGGCTTCTTCAGAGTGCCGGGAGGAGAAATTTGCTTGTACAAGACTCTACTCTGTGCATCGGCCTGTCAAACGGTGCATTCATCAGTTATGCTTCACCAGGTAAGAAGACCCAGACTGCCCAGAGACCGTCTTCCATTATAGTACTTTTGTGTCCGTAATCATTTATTTTATTTTATTATTTTATTATTTTAATTATTTTTTGAGTTGGAGTCTCACTCGGTCGCCCAGACTGGAGTGCAGTGGCCGCTCCCGGCCAGCGCAGCCTCGACCTGCTGGCCTCCGGCGATCCTTCCGCCTCAGCCTT